GATTCTGATACGGTCATTACTGGACTGACTCCAAGAAAGGACCATCCTGTGATAGGAATGGAATGGGCAGTTTTCTGGGTTATATGAGCCTGGGAATGGAGGAACAGCTCACCTTTGTTTCAAGAGACAAGTTATGACTGGTTGCAATACTTCGGTGGCTTCCCTAAGTCATTCACAGTGACCCAAGCCTGAACACAGAACCATGCCACAGCTGCTCTCCCTGTGCTTTTTTTTTTTTATTATTTATTAATATTTTTAATTTTTATTTATTTTTATTGTGTGTTCAAAATTACAATACAATCAAAAACACCTGTAGATAACAGCATCTGGTTTTCTACAATGCAGCACCCGTGGCTGTTTCTGATCTGAAAATAACTCTTCTCAGAACAGTGAAATAATAAGATTTAGAACAAAATGAGTAACAGGTTCCTTAGGAGCATGAGCTCAGGTGGGGAGCTACCACCTATCAGGGCTTCCAGCTGATTCTAATACTTTCTTCTCTCTAATTACAGCCTCTGTTACTAGCCTTCCCTTTCATTTCACCAGTCAGTCAAGCAGATCTTCCATCACCATGATACAACTATTGGAGGCAGCATTTTGGGTGGAGCTCATCAACATGCTATATATAGAAGCAAGCTCCATTAGCCTTACTTTGTTCATTAGTTATTTTTAGTGGTGTTTTTTTTTTTTAGAGAGAACTGGTCCAGCTTAAGGTATATTGGTGTTTTTGGACAGTTTGTTAAGCTTTAAGAAGAAATGAAGGCCTGAATGGTTTTATGCTGCTGGAGTACACTTAAGAAAATCAGATGGTGACATTATGTGCCTAGAATATGGATATGTCAAGAGAAGTGGATGTTCTCCTGCTTTCTATAGGTTCTTGTTTATTTTATTTTATTTTATTTTTTATTTGTTTTTTTTTTTTTGTGGCAATCTGCTTGCTGAAAGGAGTGGAAACAATTGTGCTAATCTTGAAAGAAGCCAAAAAAAAAAAAGGTTTGTTAGCAGTTACACTAATTTCTATGCGTTTTAGGCGGCAGTAGCAGCAGCTACTATTATGTTTTACTAGAATTTGGACAGGCAACCTCTGAAAAATAGGAGTGGGACTTGTAACTGTCATAGTTGAGGCTGTAGCATACTTTGAGTGTCTTGGCAATAGAGAGATGACAGTAACACAACACGTAATGATGGCTGGAAAGGATTTGTGTTCCTAGAATGTAGGGGACTAGGAAGATGTCCACACTTATGATTTGATAATGGAGGGAGATCCTGTATTTATGTCGACTTATGAGCATTTATTGTTGTTTTCATTGTGGTATTACTAGACCTTAGGACATACTCAGGCTTAAGAACATAGCAAAAGGTAATCTTTACTGCAAGACTTAATTCAGTGTAGCAGAGATGGAGTGTGTTGTTCTGGAGAATGCTGTGTGTTTTTTATGCTCGTGTCTCAAGTGAATGAGCTGTTTTACCGTACTGTAGCTTGTGAATCATAGAATATCCTGAGTTGGAAGGGACCCTTAAGGATCATCAAGTCCAACTCTTGACACCGCACAGGTCTACCCAAAAGTTCAGACCATGTGACTAAGTGCACAGTCCAATCTCTTCTTAAATTCAGACAGGCTCGGTGCAGTGACCACTTCCCTGGGGAGCCTGTTCCAGTGTGCAACCACCCTCTCTGTGAAGAACCCCCTCCTGATGTCAAGCCTAAATTTCCCCTGCCTCAGCTTAACCCCGTTCCCGCGGGTCTTGTCACTGGTGTTAATGGAGAAAAGGTCTCCTGCCTCTCGACACCCCCTTACGAGGAAGTTGTAGACTGCGATGAGGTCTCCCCTCAGCCTCCTCTTCTCCAGGCTGAACAGGCCCAGTGCCCTCAGCCGTTCCTCGTACGTCTTCCCCTCCAGGCCTTTCACCATCTTCGTAGCCCTCCTCTGGACACTCTCCAACAGTTTCATGTCCTTTTTATACTGTGGTGCCCAGAACTGCACACAGTAGTGTTTCATTTAAATGCTAACCTGCAGGAAAAGGAAGAAAATCCATTTTGCGCTGCAGTTTGACTATTTCATTCTTTCTACTGTGTGGACCCCATTACAAGACCCTTGTCAGGCAGGACAAATTTCCAATGTGCAATAACCTTCTGTCAGGGAAGATTACAAATATCCTATTTCTTGAAAGGGTCTTCTTCAAATTCTGTTTAAAATAAACAAAACAGTTGAAAGATTAGTATCTAAGTAGCTTTTTAGTTGATTTGCTTCCAATGTAAAGATTGACGACCAAGGTGACCATTCTGCAAGGGCAACAAAATTTTGTATTGTTCCCCTTGATGTGTGAAATGCATGCAGAGTTATTTGAAAAGTACAAGTTGATTAGTAAAAGAAAGCTTGCAGTAATTGTAGTGAAATCAAAAAAGGAACTAAGGAAGAGCATTGAAAAGAATACATTTAATTGTATGTAATTACTTGACGTATATTTCAATCAGAGGAAGAAAGAGAAAGGAGCATGCTAAATGGTGTTGGTATGGCAATTACACTGAGATGATTTTCCCAAATGACTGAACTTGGTGTGAATTTTGAATTAAAAAAATAATAATAATGTCAGTTGTTTCTAGCTGCTTTTAAAAATGGTTATAACTTTCTTCACTGTGATTAGTCAAAACGCTCTACCCTGTCCTTCACATATATTTGCATGTTTGATAAAGTTCACTTTCTTTTCTGGTAATATTCTACATAATTTGCTTGCAGAGTAGAAGTCCAACAGAACTTGAAACATCACAAGTAAAAAGCTTTGAGCCATATGATGCTGCAGCCATTTAAACATGCAAGTGCTCTAAAACTGAGCTGCTCAGTTGAATCAATTTTTGACATACCAAGTTTGATATCTTTGAATGAATTACAGTTTAGTTTAAAGTAAGGATATGTGTATTGCAGAGGAAAATGGAAGCAGTCTGTGAGCAGGGATTCTGGTGTGAATTCAAATGTTCTTGTCTCTGTACAAGTAATCACAGTTGACTGTGCTAAATCATTAATAAATTGAAGGTCACATCCTATCCATCACTTTAATCTGTTTCCCATGGGTAGTAAAGTTTATAAATAGAACAACTTATTCCATCTCTAATCACTTTTATACTGGAGAAGTTCATGCAAATGTTTTCCTTTTTGGGCTTAGGGTTAATGCAGGAAGATCATGTTACTGGTGACAAGCAAATGAGTGTACTGGTACAACTGGGGTGAAGTGGGGGATTAAGGTGTTCTGAAAAGTTGAGTGATTTTTCTTGTTCTCCTGGCATCATTTGCTAAGCACGTCTTATGTTTTTAAGGTGGTCAAAAAAATGCACAGTATTAATACCCAGAGATGGTGAAATCTGAATGTAGATGAGTTCTCTAAGTATGAATCTTGATGTGTGCACCATCAGGAGATGCCACTGAGGACCACAGATGGCTATTTTGACTGGAACACTTGTAATTTACAATGCTCTTTTGTGCCTCTGAACTGCTTTTAATCCAGAAAATAAGTCTCGGACTTGTACTGAAGTTGCATTCTGAAGGATATATTTACATTCTGTTCTGAGAGTTTCTCAGACCTGACTCTGGATAGCACTGTAGCAGCAGCAATGTAGAGTTCAAAATACTGGTGAACTTATTAGCTGCCTTATGCTGAGCTACCATTGTTGCAGATTCACAGAATGGTTTGGGTTGGAAGAGACCTAAAAGATGAATGTAATTCCTCCCTCCCCCCTGCCATGGGCAGGAACACCTCCCACCAGACCAGGATCCTCAAAGCTTCATCCAGCCTGGCCTTGAACAATTTGAGTGATGAGGCATCCACAGCTTCTGGGAAACCTGTTCCAATGCCTCAGTGCCCTCTGAGTAAAGAACTTCTTCATGATGTGTAACCTAAACCTACTCTCTTTTGGTTTAAAGCTATTCCTCCTTGTCCTATCACTACTCTCCCTGGGGAGTTCCTCCCCACCTTTCCTGTAGACCCCTGTTTAGGTACTGAGAGGCTGCTGTAAGGTCTACCCACAGCCTTCTCTTCCCCCAGGCTGAACAACCTCAACTCTCTAATCCTGTCCTTGTAGGAGAGGGGCTCCAGCCCCTTGGTCACCTTTTTAGCCCTTCTCTGGACTTGTTCTAATAAGCCCATGTCCTTCTTGTGCTGGGTGCCCCAGAGCTGAACACTGTGCTCCAGGTGGGGTCTCACAAGCAGTAAGACCTTGAAATCATTTTCTCTGAGCAGTAAGCAGTTCAAGTTTGCTCACACAGCAGCAGTGCTGCTCACCACAGCTGAAATACATTCTCAATTCTGGGTGCTTGTAATTCTAGCCTAAATTCTAAACCAAGTGCAAGCGTGAGACTGTGATGCCTGTCCTGGCTTGTGCAGGTCGAAAGGTTAGATGACTAAGTCTAATTCTGCTGTGGCCTAGATGGCCCCCACTGTTTCCCCCACCTTTTAGGCACATGTGTTCCCAAGAAGGTCCACTGTGAGGAGTTGTTTTCTGTCAGCGGACAAATCATGGCTCACAGTAAAAGCTGTTGACTTACTGGGGATATGTTTTCTTCTTTCTGCACCAAAAGAGCTTAGTGAGCTTTTAAGAGAATTGAAGAGTTTCTTTCTCTATGGCTCTGCTAAACAGATCAACCACAGTTGATGCCATGAGAAAGCATTTTGAGATTCTCCCGGCTAGAAGATAGCTGTTGTCCCCTGCCTCCTCTCCTGATGGGTTTCTGCAGCATACCGTGGTCTGTATAAGTATACATTTGTCAGAATGTGGACAGGTATTCTAGGTAGAAGTGCACATATTTCATATTTGCTTGCTGAGGAGTGCTGTGGAAACTTCCAAACCTTCATATATATGAATGTGTGTTTTTCCTTGCATTAGCTAACTTGGCAAATATTCCAGTTAACCAAAACCATAAGGGGAAATGGAAAACATGACCTAATGTTTTATTTCCATGTTGATGCATTATAATGATTCCCTTAAAATGTCTTGTCTTATTCTTCAGGGAACCCTTATCTCATCTGCATATGGTGTTCACAAAGGGCCTGCTGGAAGATCCAAGTCCAGTCTGCACTCATGAAGCACCTGCTCTGCAGGTAAGTTTTCAAGATAAATGTTTCTTTCAGAGGTCCTGCAAGATACAGATCTAGAGAGAAAACCGAAAATATCAAACACACTGCAGTGTCATAAAGTATGTTTCTCATCTTCTCTAAGGATGAAACATCTCAGTAATAAAATGCTAAATGTTGGTAGATGTCAGCTTTGTATGGAAATTGTATGGACTAGGATGTCAATTCCTGCATTTATTCAAAAGGAACCTGCATGATGTTTCCATAACGTGATGTCTAGCTCACATGTGCTGTGGGGGTAGCAGTGACCTTCTTTCTGCTCTGGATTGCTAGTCTGGCTACAGTGGAAGGGCTTAGAGAGAGGGTTGCAAGCAAGGGGAGCGCTGCGGCATGTAGCCCTGTGGGAGCGCACGCTTGCTAACAGGATCCTCCGCTCTCATGTGATGTTCTTCCTGTTCCACAGCAAGGCAGACTTCATGTGGGGATCTGAAGGGTGGAAGACAGCAGTGTAAAAAGTCAGTGCAAAACATGAGCCTTCAGTAATAGGAATTTGGAATGGGCACCTCATCAAGGTGATTTTTTTTTTTTTTTTAACCTTATAGGTAGTATAGGCCTGTAGTTTTTATGTAAAGTGGATCTGTTGTCCTTATTAAGGACAAAGGGGTGAAAAAGAAAGCTTAAGAAACTGAGTCAGGTGTTTCTCTCCAATTCCTTGGTGAAATTACATCTGCCCTGAGGTAACAGGCTCAACTGTCAAGATTTTATTGAAATAATAAACAAGAAAGCAAGAGTTAAATGTCCATGTCAGTAAATCACTGCAGGCTGATAAAGAACAGATCAAATCAACTTCCTATCACAGTATCAGTAGCTTGCCTAATTCAAATTGCTACTGTAAAAAAAACTCTACATGAAATCAGATGAAAATATTTTATTTCTATGAGAGTGTAGTCCTTTCTTAACCTTAGATAAAAAAAATGGAAGAAGCAATTGTTTTGCTTCTAACCAGGACTCTTATCGATAATCACCAGAAATGGGACATGATTTCTGCTGGTTAAAAAAAAAAAAAAAGAGCAAGTCGTTATCCAGGATTGATGGTTAACTTCGTCATTTAGTCATTTAGATGTATAAGAGGAGCTAAATGACTTTTTTTTTTTGTTTTACAGTTTGTACTTTATATTTCATTATTATTTGTTTTGTTTTCAAATCTATTATTTGCATTTATCTTGTAATACATAATCTTTCTAAGATGAGAAAGATGAGTAATCACTGGTCATTATCAGGTTCTCATTTTCTCACCTTCGCTCTGGGGACTTCTACTAAGGAGAGGACAAACTGGGGAATTTCTTCTGGAATATGTTGATGCTTGCATTTTCCAGTGAAGTTATGCTTACAGTGTTCAACTGCTTGGATTCACCTCTGTATGTTCTCATAAAGCTTCCAACTGTCAAAGCATTCTGGAGAAAGGTTACAAATAGAGCTTTGGTTTCTGTACAGCTGGAACCAAACAATGGAGATGTGATGGAACTTTGGGTTCTGTGGGTATCTCCTGACAAGGGATGGCTGATTTGATGTAAGGAGCTGATCAGATGGAAATAATCAGCGAACCAAATATTATACTTTGCAGTGTGTGTACAGTTGCCTTGGTAGCTTTCAAAAGAGCATATTTATCCTTGTAGTTAGGGATTTTAAGAAGTTCGCCTTGTTCTTGTGCCTCAAAAACTATCTTCATTCTTTAAGCCCAAGACATGTTCATACTTTTTAGATATAGTAAAATAAAAAAGGGTTTGATTTTCTTTTTTTGTTGTTGTTGTGGATGTCAGGTCTTCGGCCATTATATCTGTCATTGTCTGTACACTTGAGTTATATACTGTTGTAATTGGTCTCCAACTTAAAAATAACCAAGTTTTAAAATAAAAAAAATTATGTGAGGAGAGAATACTGGTACCTTTCTGGGGGAAGAATTGAGCTTGGAAGTGAACTTGGAGCTGTCCCTCACCGTCTTAGAAACTGATCAGCCTGTCCATCCTCAATCATGACTGACTTCAGTGCTGGGCAGGAGCTAACAAGGAGCTAATTCTAAATGGCAATTATTGAAGAACCAGTCAAAAAGAATAATCTGTGTTTATATGTTAAAATTTCTACCGCAATGAGTTTCTTTTGCTATAATACTATTGAAGTTTTCTGAGACCTCTAATGTAAACTTATTTCAGTATGGAACTGTAGCTGTGTTCTAGTCCTGTTCTGTTTGGCAACTTTTGCTCCCTGCTATACCTATGTCAAAACAGGTTCATTGGTGAAATTTGCTTTTATGTTTTTGTTTTGTTTTTTCTTCAGAAAAAACACCTGATGTATTTCTTTAAGATTTATTACAGATCAACATTTAACTGCTAGTTTTCACGTGGTCAAATAAAACATAACTAAGCTCCTGGAAAAATGGACAGGTATTAAAAAAAAAAAAAAGGGAAAGCAAGTTTAGGTCTTCAACAATAAATTACCTTCTGTGCTGCTTGTCTGTAGCCTTTTTTTATTTCACTCTAATGGAACAACGTGCTTAAGTGGGGACACATTCGACACATTCTCTAGTACTGTGTAATTGGGTTGTACGTGACTTCATCAGGATACATGCAGAAGTGGGTTTAAATCAAAGAGTCAGGGAGCAAGTGAGAAGATAACTCTTCATATCCCAGCAGCCTAGTGCTGGGAAGCTTGTAATAGAATTTCTGGACAGATTTTATAGATGCCAGAGGTTTAGGTATTTTGGATACACTTCAGCCCAGCAGAGCCTCCTTGGCATGTTCTCTGTTGCTGTAGCAGTGTTAAATTTTATGACAAGTGAAACGAGATACTAGAGGAGTGGTATCCTAACACCTGAAACAAGATACGATGGTGATGGTGTCCTGCCATCTGAAACAAGATGCTACAGCGGTGATGTCCTGATATAGACTGTGAAACCTCCACTGCTTTGTTTTAGCAGCAGCATTTCCAAGTGAAAGACATCTCTCCCCCACACACTATTTCCTATATCATCGGGTCAGTTATGATACTGAAAATGGCATTAGAGGATGTATGATTTGAAGGTCTCTTTTGCTCTAGGTGGCAGGGGTCAGCTCAGCTGCTGGTCACTTTTGGTCTGTGTAATGTTATAAAGAATTTAAGTTTGTAGTAGCAAGCTACCACCTTGATTACTAATCTGACTCCTACTTTTCAGTTTTTCTTTTTATTACTTGGAGATCAGCTGTTGAACTGTGGGGGCATTCAACTTCCAGAGCCCTGGGAAGGCATACTATTAGTGAAAGTTCAGCAATTATACTTTATCATGAGACCTGGAGTAGTTTCTCTGTGGTGATTATCTTAAGAAGGTGCTCACTAGGGGACCCGTGTCTTCTTCCTTACAGACTTCTGAGGATATTTGATAACAGTGCCAAAAAAAAATAATCCACAGGTTCACTGTATGTGCACAGATTTGTTGAACAGCTGCTAATGGGATCCTGTTAGAATTGCTTTTCCTTCTGTCTATAATCAGCAGAATTCCTCTGCCTCAGTATTTTGGGTGAGTCAATCCACTCTGAGCACCCACTTTACTTCCTATCTTCGCTAGGGATTATGTTCTTAGCGGCACATCACCAAGAGAATGGCTACCACAAACCTACTATCAAGCTTGCCCTTTCTTCCTTTCCTACTTCTTCCCCTTTTCCCTTGGTCCATAAAGGGTTTTAGCCCTGACCGTATTTCTATTTGGTTCATGTTCTAACAAGTCCCGTGTTAGTTGTGAGGTGGTAGTACTGAAGCTGTTGACCATGTCATTATTATATGATCCCTTGACATTCCTCAACTATCTGAGAAGGTAGAAGCCATGATTTTTTTTTTTTATGCATTGTGAGGTAAACTGCAAAATCACTTTCAGGAATGAAGGCAAAGCCTTCAAGTAATTCCATTCCTTTAGAGGCAGAGAGAAAAATGTAGGTGGCATTGACTGAAATCCAGTTGAGATAATTTTGCAAGACTGCTTCTAGGGAAGAAGCAAGAGTTCAGCCCCCCAAATGGATTGAAAGCAGACTGTCTGCAAGCCACTGTTGAACCTGGAGAAAAGATCTGGGTGCTTGTTAAGCTATTGAAGGCTCAATTTGACAGCTGTGCTTCATGAATATAAAAATATGTAAAGCAAGAGGTCTCTTGAGAAATGGGTACTTGACTGTTCATTGGTTCTTTCTAGTGACATTTTAGTGCCAAGGATGCTTGATATGAGATGAGGCTAGGGATATAAAAAGGAGGAGAGGATTAATTGCACACTGTGAATGAGGAAGGATAGTGGTGTTCTAAAGTAATTTCTGGTTGGCTGTTAGGGTGCAGAGGTTTTGATTTTCCTACCTTGGATGTATTTCAGGACGGTGATAGCACTTAAATGTTCTCAACTTGGAAACCAGAACTATGGCCAATCTAGTTGCTAGTTGTTAGTCTATTGAGTCTCTTTTATCAGGTTAGTTTTAATATAAGTTCCAGGCCTTGATCTTTTATCCCTATGAGGAGTTGGTGGTTCTATTAAATTGAAATCAATTTCATAATATGATCTTTTATAGCTTTTTTTTCCTTAACATAAGATGCCTTTGGTTCTTTTAGTCCCTCTGTGGAACAAATGAGGATAGTTCTTTTTTAAATAACTAAGGTCTGAGGCTCTAATACCTGTCCTTCTTCTGTTGGACTCAATTACTTTCATACTTATTTTTACATTCTCTTTTCATGGACAGGCACTGATGTCATAAAGTGTGTCCCTCCTTTTAAGATTCTCATCAGTGAGGAATTATATTAAAGTAATGAGGCAGAAATTAGCTGGGATTAAAGAGTTATAAAAAGGGAAATTGCCAAAAATGAGGAGGTTTTCTATGAGCACAAGTATCTAAATACAGTCTTCATAGAATAGCAATAAAATATGATCTAGTGATAATAAATCTGTAAAAGGAAATGGTATTTGGATATATTTCCCATTTTCTTACTGTGATAGAGGAAATTGCAAGAAATTCATCGCTGTC